GGGGGGGATTAACTTAGTATTAATCAAACTTAGGATTGAGATATAAACCCCTTGGTGGTCTCTCTCTCTCTCTCCCTCTCTCCATGGCCATCTCCAAAGAGTTCAACCATTCATTTCAGATACTTCTGCAGGTACCCTAGTAGATTATATCCCTATTGTTTATGATGACAAGTCTTGTTTCTGATGGTTTGCAGTAACCCTTATTTTTTGATTTCCCCGTGTTTGTCCTCTGAATTCCCAGTGCTTGGCTGCAACAGACTCCCATTTTTTTTGGTAATTTTCCATATTTTTTTTGTTTTTACCGTTGCTTAACGTGGTGGTTGGCTATATAATTTCCCAATTGCCAACGGATGGGCCCAGGATAAATCGATCAATGGTGGAAAGTTGGCATGCGGGAATAACATTCTCAACAACGGATATAGTTTGCATATCATTCTGCAATTAAATCAGATATGATAATATGTATACAAACAATGCATCGTGTAAAACAATGCATCGTGTATATAAAGATACGTGCACGTGTAAAAACTCATATACACCGACCTTTTAATTATGTACATACTTAATCATACTTTTATATTCATAATATGGATTTCAATGTATCTATGTCTATGAATTTGTATGCATGTGTATATTGAGCTGGTGGATACTAGTATACTGTAGGTAACACATATATTTATGTAACATTGCAACACCTATTTACGCTATTCACGACAAAACAGGTACTGGCTTGGGACGCCTCACGCATGCCTGGGAAAGCAAGCCTCTTTTGCCATGGTTCGTGAATATAAACATATCAATCAAACAAAGAACAGCTGGAGGCACTGACAGCGATAATGCAAGACAAACAGCTAGCACTGAAGATTTGAAGACTTGATGGCAAGGTCACCCCCTCCAGGCTTTGGTTGAGATTCCCGCCAAATCTCAAGCTTTGAAGACTCGACGGCAAGGTCACCCGCTCCAGGCTTTGATTGAACTTAAGGCCAAAGCTCAAGCTTTGAAGACTCGACGGTAAGGTCACCCGCTCCAGGCTTTGATTGAAATCATCGCCAAAACTCAAACTTTGAAGACCCGATGGCAAGGTCACCCGCTCTAGGCTTTGGTTGAACAAAAGGCCAAAACTCAAGCTTTGAAGACTTGATGGCAAGGTCACCTGCTCCAGGGTCTGGTTGAAATGAAAACCAAAACTCAAGCTTTGAAGACTCAATGGCAAGGTAACCTGCTCCAGGCTTTGGTTGAAGTCATTGCCAAAACTCAAGCGTTGAAGACTCGATGGCAAGGTCACCTGTTCCAGGCTGTGGTTGAAATCACTTCCAAAAGTCAAGCTTTGAAGACTCGATGGCAAGGTCACCCGCTCCAGGCTTTGGTTGAATCTAAGCCCAAAACTCAAGCTTTGGAGACTCGACGGCAAGGTGACCTGCTCTAGGCTGTGGCTGAGATTCCCGCCAAAGCTCAAGAATTGAAGACTCGATGGCAAGGTCACCCGCTCCAGGCTCTGGTTAAGAGTCCCTCCAAAACTCAAGCTTTGAAGACTCAATGGCAAGGTCACCTGCTCCAGGCTTTGGTTGACTGAAAGGCCAAAACTCAAGCTTTGAAGACCCGATGGCAAGATCAGGCTTTGGTTGAAATCACTTCCAAAAGTCAAGCTTTGAAGACTCGATGGCAATGTCACATGCTCCAGGCTTTGGTTGAAATTAGAACCAAAACTCAAGCTTTGAAGACTCGATGGCAAGGTCACTCGCTCCAGGCTTTGGTTGAAGGAAAGGCCAAAACTCAAGCTTTGCAAACTCCATGGCAAGGTCACCCCCTCCATGCTTTGGTTGAAATGCCTGCCAAAACTCAAGCGTTGAAGACTCGATGGCAAGGTCACCTGCGCCAGGCTGTGGTTGAAATCACTTCCAAAAGTCAAGCTTTGAAGACTCGATGGCAAGGTCACCCGCTCCAGGCTTTGGTTGAATCTAAGCCCAAAACTCAAGCTTTGGAGACTCGACGGCAAGGTCACCTGCTCCAGGCTTTGGTTGAAATTCCTGCCAAAACTCAATCTTTGAAGACTCGATGGCAAGGTCACCCTCTCCATACTTTGGCTGAAATGCCTGCCAAAACTCAAGCTTTGAAGACTCGATGGCAAGGTCACCTGCTCCAGGCTTTGGTCGAAGTCATTGCCAAAACTCAAGCTTTGAAGACTCGATGGCAAGGTTACCTTCTCCAGGCTTTGGTTGAAATCACTTCCAAAAGTCAATCTTGTAAGGCTGCGGGGCAAATGATGCAAATACTCTCCAGGGATTGCTCCCTCAAGTTGTGTGACGCCTTCTAGCACAAAATTTTCCTCGCAAGTCCGGAGCCCACATATGTAACACCATGCTCTGTACACATTTGTTGGTATGTAAGTGCAGGAAAGCGTTGCCGATGTTCCAACCATTCCTTGCCCTCCCAAGGTTTGATTCAGCCTCAGCTTTGCATTCACGTGATGCATGGCGAGCTTTGCGCCTGGCTTGCATGGAAGCTTCTCGGACACCAACCTCCACAGGTCATACCCAAGCATAGAGCGAGGGACACTCAATGCCACTCCTTCTCCAGTCAAGCACAGCACCTGAAGATTGACTTTATCAGTTTCATCTGCTGCACCTTTGTCAGTAGATGACGGGTCCATGTAGCCATGCAGAGCACTGGACATTTGTGAATATTTACACTTACACACTTCGCACTACTGGGCAAGGGCAAAGCCGAAAGATCTTTGCAAACACAATTCCAGGTACAGCGCAGCGGTACAGCGCAAAAAATCTACCTCGAAATTGAGCAGGGAACCCAAAGATTGCCATGTCCAATTATCTTTGTCCAGATCCATTTTGGTGGGTTTTGACATTTTCCACAGCAGCTGCCTGATGGGGTTGATGGGGTGCAGGCCATTCTGGACATGCTTGGTCCCCTAAGATGATTTTCTAACATACTTGTTTTCATGCAAGCAACGTAGATTTACAACACTTGGAGTTGAGAGATGTGCTGTAGGCCAAACCTACGAAGATTTGTCAGGTGATGACTTTATGACCCCAGGCTACCCGATGCCCTGCCTTTTGCCTTCCTCAGTTCCAATCTCGACCTTAGGTGCAAAATGGTGCAAATCAAACTTCCAAGACCCATGCAATGGATGGATCAGCTGAACCATGGCAGACCCAATGCGGAGCTGAGTGTCTGAGTGTTGTGGCCCCAGGAACAGTCGATGAACCAACCATTGACTCATCTCAAATCATTGATATCTCACACCCGCTGGCAATCCAACACATAGATTCTCTTCCCATCAAGGAGACCTCTAGCCAGCCACGTTTGTTTACGGGTACGGGTAATTCAGTGGATATCCCACCTCTGGGCAAATCAAAGTAATACATGATAAATGAAAAAAAAGAAGTGTTAATATAGACTCTAATTCCCAAATCCGATGAGTGATTATTCATGTCCATTTTCAGGATGATTACCCCTTTTTGACCATCAATGGTGACGGCTCACTGCCCCCATCCCACCCAGCCATTTCGCCCTCAATCCGGCCCAGCGGCCGCCCAGTTGTCATGCTCCGAGCTCCATCGCCGGAGAATGCCATGGATTGAGGTGTTGAAGACGTCAAAGACGGCCACCTACCGTTACTGGAGTGGCTGCTGCCTCTACCGTTCCACTGCCGATTTCACATAAATCAACAGCATTATGACAATTATTCTTAGGAACCAGAAGAACAGAATTCAGAAACAATATCAACAAATGCAACTCAGATCAATGCAGAACAGCAAACATCAACATGAGGAATATGTTAATTGCCCAAAATCACAACAAAGGTTAAACAAATACACTAAGTCACATAAGAATAGTAAATGCACATGCATTTATATATATATATATATACACGTATATAATTTATAATCGTTGCTTGAACGACCTTGAGACTTGCGTTTTGATCACCTCGAGTTACCTTGAATCAAATTTTATCGCTAGAACCCAGCTGCAATTGAATGATATTGAATGCATGTGATTTGCAAAAAGGTTTCCTGTCCTGCCTTTGAGCCAAATGTTCGGCCCCGGAGACATCCTCCGTAAACCGAGAGGAAAAAAAACCATGGTCCCATGGTGGGAAAGCTTTTTTGAAAAGTATCCCACGTTTGGCCTGTTGCTGGCCATGATTGGCAAACCTGAACCTGCACAATGGAGGACAAATTAAGTGGATAAAGAAAGTACATAACTGGCATGGCGGCATCATGCTGCTCTTTTTGCAATCGCGAATCGAAATGTCTGGCATCCGCATTTAGAGTAGTTCAATGCAAATGGTTGGTCATAAGGCTATAGGGTCAACCATACGAGCAGCTCAAGAATTGAAGAGGGCAAACAAATTGGATTTATGTTTTTTGAACTGCCATGTGTCAGCAATCGTCGAAATTGAGGCATCGAACATCCCCAAGAGCTCTTGCGAATTAACATGCCAACACCGCGACCAAGCGCGGCACATGGATGTTGTCATCCATTCGGCCTAAAAAACAACGGTGGAAACAGGACGTGGGAAGCGGTACCAAGAACAATTATATAGATCTTTATAGCCACCAAATTTAAGGGATATTGGGTGTGGGTCCAAGTTTGGCCCCCCAAAAAATCCACCTGTACCCAAGGCATCCAAACGTCATATAGTTGTGAAAACTGTCAAGTTAAAACTATAAACTAGATGATAGAATATAATAATATACCGTGTATGTATGTATGTATGTATGTAGGTAGGTAGGTAGGTAGGTAGGTAGGTATGCATGTATGTATGCATGTATGTATGTATGTAAAAATACATGCATGCATGCATGCAAACATACATACATACATACACACACACACATATATATATATATACACACATATATATATACATACAAATATGTATGTATATATATATAATAATGTAGTGGATATTTTTGAATTCACCCGCCTGGGATGAATGCACTGCCAGACTCATAGCTGCCACACAAATGCCATTGCACTTACGCGCCCGCACGGCTCTGTGCCCAACCAATCTGCTTGCCGCTGCGCAGCCAATCGACCCATTGCTCTGACCTCTCCGACGTCCGAGGCAACAGGATGGACAGCAATGACAACGAATAGAACAGGATAGAAAAGGAAGATCAATGGAACATCTAGCTGGTTGGTGGTTTTAACCATCTTGAAAAATATTAGTCAATGGGAAGGATTATCCTATATTTCATGGAAAATAGAAAATGTTTGAAACCACCAACCAGCTAGGCATTCTAGGCAAGTTCAAACTGGCGCATTGTACTATTGGTGAATCATCAAGAAGGTAAAAGCATCAACTTCCATTGTTATCTGTACCCTTAAGTACATAATAGTAAATAGAAGTAAATCAACATGGGTACATACAAACGTCACCCAAAAAACCAATCTAGAAGTTGTATGAAATTGTGGATTCTCCATATCTATGTTAATTGGAAGGTATATGAAAGGTTGGAGCACCGGGATGGAATCACCCTGCCCAATCAGTCCACTGCTGAGCTTTCCGGGCACTGAGACTGCTGGATCCTTAGAGGACCTGAAGGTGCACCTGCACGGGGAGCGAAGGTGAAGTGCAACGAGAAACCATTCGCCCCAAGAAAATATCCTTAGGATATAATTGATATAACCGAACATGGGGGGGATTAACTTAGTATTAATCAAACTTAGGATTGAGATATAAACCCCTTGGTGGTCTCTCTCTCTCTCTCCCTCTCTCCATGGCCATCTCCAAAGAGTTCAACCATTCATTTCAGATACTTCTGCAGGTACCCTAGTAGATTATATCCCTATTGTTTATGATGACAAGTCTTGTTTCTGATGGTTTGCAGTAACCCTTATTTTTTGATTTCCCCGTGTTTGTCCTCTGAATTCCCAGTGCTTGGCTGCAACAGACTCCCATTTTTTTTGGTAATTTTCCATATTTTTTTTGTTTTTACCGTTGCTTAACGTGGTGGTTGGCTATATAATTTCCCAATTGCCAACGGATGGGCCCAGGATAAATCGATCAATGGTGGAAAGTTGGCATGCGGGAATAACATTCTCAATAACGGATATAGGTTGCATATCATTCTGCAATTAAATCATATATGATAATATGTATACAAACAATGCATCGTGTAAAACAATGCATCGTGTATATAAAGATACGTGCACGTGTAAAAACTCGTATACACCGACCTTTTAATTATGTAAATATGGATTTCAATGTATCTATGTCTATGAATATGTATGCATGTATATGTTATATGCATGTGTATATTGAGCTGGTGGATACTAGTATACTGTAGGTAACACATATATTTATATAACATCGCAACACCTATTTACGCTATTCACGACAAAACAGGTACTGGCTTGGGACGCCTCACGCATGCCTGGGAAAGCAAGCCTCTTTTGCCATAGTTCGTGAATATAAACATATCAATCAAACAAAGAACAGCTGGAGGCACTGACAGAGATAATGCAAGACAAAAAGCTAGCACTGAAGATTTGAAGACTTGATGGCAAGGTCACCCCCTCCAGGCTTTGGTTGAGATTCCCGCCAAATCTCAAGCTTTGAAGACTCGACGGCAAGGTCACCCGCTCCAGGCTTTGATTGAACTTAAGGCCAAAGCTCAAGCTTTGAAGACTCGACGGCAAGGTCACCCGCTCCAGGCTTTGATTGAAATCATCGCCAAAACTCAAACTTTGAAGACCCGATGGCAAGGTCACCCGCTCCAGGCTTTGATTGAAATCATCGCCAAAACTCAAACTTTGAAGACCCGATGGCAAGGTCACTCGCTCTAGGCTTTGGTTGAACAAAAGGCCAAAACTCAAGCTTTGAAGACTTGATGGCAAGGTCACCTGCTCCAGGGTCTGGTTGAAATGAAAACCAAAACTCAAGCTTTGAAGACTCAATGGCAAGGTAACCTGCTCCAGGCTTTGGTTGAAGTCATTGCCAAAACTCAAGCGTTGAAGACTCGATGGCAAGGTCACCTGTTCCAGGCTTTGGTTGAAATCACTTCCAAAAGTCAAGCTTTGAAGACTCGATGGCAAGGTCACCCGCTCCAGGCTTTGGTTGAATCCAAGCCCAAAACTCAAGCTTTGGAGACTCGACGGCAAGGTGACCTGCTCTAGGCTGTGGCTGAGATTCCCGCCAAAGCTCAAGAATTGAAGACTCGATGGCAAGGTCACCCGCTCCAGGCTCTGGTTAAGAGTCCCTCCAAAACTCAAGCTTTGAAGACTCAATGGCAAGGTCACCTGCTCCAGGCTTTGGTTGACTGAAAGGCCAAAACTCAAGCTTTGAAGACTCGATGGCAAGATCAGGCTTTGGTTGAAATCACTTCCAAAAGTCAAGCTTTGAAGACTCCATGGCAAGGTCACCCCCTCCATGCTTTGGTTGAAATGCCTGCCAAAACTCAAGCGTTGAAGACTCGATGGCAAGGTCACCTGCTCCAGGCTGTGGTTGAAATCACTTCCAAAAGTCAAGCTTTGGAGACTCGATGGCAAGGTCACCCGCTCGAGGCTTTGGTTGAATCTAAGCCCAAAACTCAAGCTTTGGAGACTCGACGGCAAGGTCACCTGCTCCAGGCTTTGGTTGAAATTCCTGCCAAAACTCAATCTTTGAAGACTCGATGGCAAGGTCACTCGCTCCAGGCTTTGGTTGAAGGAAAGGCCAAAACTCAAGCTTTGCAAACTCCATGGCAAGGTCACCCCCTCCATACTTTGGTTGAAATACCTGCCAAAATTCAAGCTTTGAAGACTCGATGGCAAGGTCACCTGCTCCAGGCTTTGGTCGAAGTCATTGCCAAAACTCAAGCTTTGAAGACTCGATGGCAAGGTGACCTTCTCCAGGCTTTGGTTGAAATCACTTCCAAAAGTCAATCTTGTAAGGCTGCGGGGCAAATGATGCAAATACTCTCCAGGGATTGCTCCCTCAAGTTGTGTGACGCCTTCTAGCACAAAATTTTCCTCACAAGTCCGGAGCCCACATATGTAACACCATGCTCTGTACACATTTGTTGGTATGTAAGTGCAGGAAAGCGTTGCCGATGTTCCAACCATCCCTTGCTCTCCCAAGGTTTGATTCAGCCTCAGCTTTGCATTCACGTGATGCATGGCGAGCTTTGCGCCTGGCTTGCATGGAAGCTTCTCGGACACCAACCTCCACAGGTCATACCCAAGCATAGAGCGAGGGACACTCAATGCCACTCCTTCTCCAGTCAAGCACAGCACCTGAAGATTGACTTTATCAGTTTCATCTGCTGCACCTTTGTCAGTAGATGACGGGTCCATGTAGCCATGCAGTGCACTGGACATTTGTGAACATTTACACTTACACACTTCGCACTACGGCAAGGGCAAAGCCGAAAGATCTTTGCAAACACAATTCCAGGTACAGCGCAAAAAAATACCTCGAAATTGAGCAGGGAACCCAAAGATTGCCATGTCCAATATGTCCAATTGATGTTGATAATCTTTGTCCAGATCCATTTTGGTGGGTTTTGACATTTTCCACAGCAGCCTGATGGGGTGCAGGCCATTCTGGACATGCTTGGTCCCCTAACATGATTTTCTAACATACTTGTTTTCATGTAAGCAACGTAAATTTACAACACTTGGAGTTGAGAGATGTGCTGTAGGCCAAACCTACGAAGATTGTCAGGTGATGACTTTATGACTCCAAGCTACCCGATGCCCTGCCTTTTGCCTTCCTCAGTTCCAATCTCGACCTTAGGTGCAAAATGGCGCAAATCAAACTTCCAAGACCCATGCAATGGATGGATCAGCTGAACCATGGCAGACCCAATGCGGAGCTGAGTGTCTGAGTGTTGTGGCCCCAGGAACAGTCGATGAACCAACCATTGACTCATCTCAAATCATTGATATCTCACACCCGCTGGCAATCCAACACATAGATTCTCTTCCCATCAAGGAGACCTCTAGCCAGCCACGGTTGTTTACGGGTACGGGTAATTCAGTGGATATCCCCACCTCTGGGCAAATCAAAGTAATACATGATAAATGATCATAGAAGTGTTAATATAGACTCTAATTCCCAAATCCTTTTTGAGTGATTATTCATGTCCATTTTCAGGATGATTACCCCTTTTTGACCATCAATGGTGACGGCTCACTGCCCCCATTCCACCCAGCCATTGAACGGCGAATCCGGCCCAGCGGCCGCCCAGTTGTCATGCTCCGAGCTCCATCGCCGGAGAATGCCATGGATTGAGGTGTTGAAGACGTCAAAGACGGCCACCTACCGTTACTGGAGTGGCTGCTGCCTCTACCGTTCCACTGCCGATTTCACATAAATCAACAGCATTATGACAATGATCCTTAGGAACCAGAAGAACAGAATTCAGAAACAATATCAACAAATGCAACTCAGATCAATTCAGAACAGCAAACATCAACATGAGGAATATGTTAATTGCCCAAAATCACAACAAAGGTTAAACAAATACACTAAGTCACATAAGAATAGTAAATGCACATGCATTTATATATATATATATACACGTGAGCTACCTCCAAAATTCTATTGCCCCAAAATGGAATATCTATTTTTCCTTCGTTTTAAAGGGTCACCTTCGTTTTACAAGGGTTTCGACCAGACCTTCACAGATATACGTGCGATTTCGAGCTAATGGCAGCAGCAATGGCAAAAGTTATAAAAACAGTGCCAGGATGTGCTAGGATTAGTGCTGTGACTCGTAGAAGCGACACAGGTGCTAGAAGAAGCAACAGTGGCAGCGCAAGCAGCAGGAGCAGGAGCAGTAGCAGTAGCAGTGGAGTAGCGGTAGCAGTGGCAGGAGCAGTGGCAGTAGCAGTGGCAGTAGCAATAGCAGCAGCAGTAGCAGCAGCAGTGGCAGCAGCAAGTGACAGCAGGGCAGCAGCGACAGCAGTGACAGCAAGTCACAGCAGCAGCTACCAGCAGCTACCAGCACCATCAGCATCAGCATCAACATCAGCAGCAGCTGCATCAGCAGCAGCAGCAATCGCGGTGATGCCGGCGCTGTTGGTGCTTTGCTGGTGCTGGTAAGACAAATGCCTGCAGCAAAAGCATAACTAGGCCCCGCAGTGGCAATGGTAGTTGTCGCAGTAGTAGCAGGATGGGGAAGAAGGTTTGCCTGCTCCTGGCCAGGTTCATGCCAAGCTGCTTGTCGTGAATTTTGCCTTCGTTTTTGCCTTCGTTTTGGCTTCGTTCCAGAACGCAAAACCAGACGGGAAAACGAAACCGCAAGATGAAAAAATACTTGCAGGCGGAAAGCAGAAACTTGACAAAATGTAAATGCAGCAGGAGGAAAAACAAGATAGGAAAAAACAAAAGGGACCAACAGAAAGAAACGAAGGCGGAAAGGAAGCCAACAGAAACTGTCACAGGAAAGGCATGAAAGCAAGAAAGGAAACAAAAGGAAGACAAGGCGACAATAACTCCATAAGACACCATTCTTATCCATTCTTGACGTTCGCTGCTCAAATGGAAATCTATCAACAAACTTTAACTTTAGTTGTAAGATGTTGTAAGGTTTGCCTTCGTTTTAAAGGGTCACCTTCGTTTTTGCAGGTTTTGAGCTATATTCCATTCCAATACATATCCCTTACATAGACCTTTTTGGTGGTAGCCCACGTATATAATTTATAATTAATCGTAAATACATAATTATATATCTTTATGCATGATTAATTATTAGGATTTTTGTTCAACCAAAGTTCAGTCGGTGACTTCTCGAGACCCAAACCAGAGGATCCGAATCAAACTTCCCATGGATACGCTAGCACGTGCCGATCAAGATTTTGGGTCGTCACAAAATACGGGACAATCCCAAATTTTGACGGTTCATCACCATTTTCCCGACTAAGAAAGTAAAGTGTTGGTTTTTGTTGTGGGTGGCATATATCACTTTAGATTTCCCTTGATTTTCCAAAACAAATATTTCCATGGCAAACTGTTAAATAACCAGAGGGTATATCAAATATGGATCCAGCTCTTTGGCCCGTGACTATATGGAAGCACCCCATCCAAGGCTTTCCAAGGCCATCGCCTGCTGTCCCACAGCTTTGTCGATCATCCAGGAGCGAAACTCTTTGATCATGGGAGCTGCCACGGTGTAGGACAGTTGAAGACCTCTTGGATTTTTGGAGATGGCAGGACTGGTGATGCGTCATTTCCTGGGATTGAACATGATTGAACCCATTGAGTCCTCTAAATGATGGGTCACTCCCAAGGTCCACGTGCTTTTCTGAGCTGAGAAGTAACAGAAAATTTTGGGAACAGGAAGCCTTGCTTGGCGTCTTGAGGGGAGTTAAGTACTTTCGGCAAAAGAAACCCGCAGAACTTGAGGTGATGCGGGATGAGGATAATGAGTACGGGAACGAGGACGGGGACGGGGGCCGATGATGATGATGATGATGATGATGATGATGGTGGTGATGATGATGATGATGATGATGATGCTGATGATGATGATGCTGATGATGATGATGATGATGATGATGATGTTGATGATGATGATGTTGTTGTTGATGATGATGATTATGATGATGATGATGATGATGATGAAGATGATGATGATGATGATGATGCAGCAACGCTGTCCCCATCCCCGAAAGTGTGGAGCCCCACTGTAGCGCATACACACACATGACCACACTAGTGCCGCTGTTCCAGTGATCTGATGGCAAAGTGAACAATATGGACTATGGAAATCTATGGAACATGTTTGATGCATTCTTATCTATTGATCTATTGCAAGGTTCGCCAAGAGATTCACCACGACCAGTCAGTGCAAGACTTTTGGGGATCCGACCACTGTTTTTGGCACAGTTCTGCAACTGCAGCGTGGTTGGCATCTTGAGGTTGTTGTCCTCGGCCGCAAAGGTGGGCTAAGGTTGGCTGTAGCTAAGCCTCACCACAAGATATGGTGCTGCTGATGGGTACCCTTACCTGCATTTCTGGGGAAAGCTGTCAGGAATCTCCTGACGATGATTTTCCACTCTTGATTACCTTGTGGCATGCTGACCTTGTGCTCAGTATCTTGTGATATCCCTCTTAAATTTTGGTCATTTGAAGAATTTCACGATGGCGCGCAAAATCACAAGAACTCATCTACTGGCGCGCCTCACTCTAAAGTGCAAACTATTTCTCAGAATCTATGACCAAATCCCAAAAACACTCCGGGATTCGCGGGGAATTATATATATGTATATATCATATATCTATCTAATATCTAAGTTGCTATCTAAGTGCAAGACATTTCAAGTTGATGGAGCCTAAACCCAAACCTTTTTTTGCCGGTGTGGAGGCACAATCAAAGTAAGCCGCAGTGACCCGACCAATTACTGTGGGAAGGACACTCATCCCAATTCCTTTTTTTTTGAGCACGCGGTATTCAATCCTCCACAATGTGGCAAAACATCAGCAAATTTATTCAATAAAGATTTACCAAATACCCAGTTTGAATCATTTCTGAGTGTCCAGTTTATGTTTTTTTTTTCCGGCCAGGGCTCCAGGTATTCGCATAGAACCGGGTACTTGCTGAGAACCTGTGGTGCGGAAATCTTCGGGATGACCCCAGGAAGGGTCATCCCCCAACGTATCCATCTGGCGACACCCAGCAGACTCAGCAGACTATTTGGGAAACCAATGCCTCTAGTGACTCGAGTGACTCTAGTGACTAGTCTTGTCAGCGACTTCCCCTGTGACGCCTCTTTAGACAAAGCCTCTGGGACTTGCAGGAGCCGAATGTGACCTGCCACGAGGGCACAGCTCTGGGGATGTGCAGCCGTGCGCTTCAAAAGGCGAAGAACTAAAAGTGGTAAACCCAACAAACAACCCCGCTTCTTTGGGTATGGTTTTTAGATACCCCATGACCACCCAAATGGTATGGTGGAAGTATATGAAAATTGGGTATCACTGGCTCCGACTCGCTCCAGTTTGGCCTAGAGGATGTTCTTCCGCAGTCGGAAGGGCCTTGCTCACCACGGGAACCGTTGGAAGTTTGGGGTACAATATGACGCTTCGTTGTGTGGGTAGTACCAGAAAACAGCTAGAAACTCTTGAAACATCCAAAATCATCAGCAAATCTCTCACAAGTAGCTTGCTCCTGGTGTGTTCAATGCTGCCACTTGGGGACGTGTGAATTCAACTATAGTTATGCACTTGTTGCGATGCCTCCAATGAATTCAAGTTCCACAAGGGATTTCACACCCAACCGGACCCAAATCAACATTCTAAAACTTCACTGCTGGATCTTTACAGATTCGCTCTAAACAGGTTAGCTTAAACAGCTGACTTCTGGACTTCTAACATGTTCGAACTCACGACCCCTTTCCCTGCAGCGAGTTTTCACCTCTGGGTCTGGAGGGGCATGGCGTTTCCCTTAGCAAAGGCGGGGCTGTTCTGCACCGATCAATCCCTCCTACTAAGTTACTAGACAACCACTGCAAAACCCTACCATGGTCAACGGCAAGCGCAACAAAGGTATAAAAATAGGAAAAATCCACAGGAGAACCATAGTGCAAGCCACAATAAACAGCAAGGCCCTGGCGCCAAAAATCGTTGTTGCGCAACAGGCTGCGGTCAATGATATTTCTCCAATGCCTCGGAGAATTCAGAGAGATGAAGCTCATCCCAAGGCTCACTGTGGGTTCACCTGCTGAAAACGGGGCTCCGGCGCATCGTCACACTCGAAGCCGAGCTTCACCTGATTTGTTACTCTTGCTACTTTCTGCTTGTTATGATCATAATCTTGGGGGGTTGATTGAATTGGGGACCATCATCTTTGGATACGTTTAGTAGGAAAACGGGAAACGAATGGTTTTGGGGGCACCCAAATTTTGAGAAACACCTATATATATATATACATACGGGGCAATATAGCTTTGCTTTAACATCCTTTAACCATCCAACGAACCAGTCTTGGGACGGGGATACATGGCTGACATTTCACTAGGGTAACGTCATAACGTCATCGGCACAGGCGTTCCCAAGCAGCTGAGGCATGGGACAATGGACTCATTTCGCCACATCATTTGTCCCACGGCTTCCTCTGTTGGCCTGGCCGAGCAGTTTCTCTGTTCAGTTGCTTGGGCCTCTTCACCGTCTCCCCTTCAGGACACTTTCGAATGGCTCATGGCTGCTGGAAATTCTTAAGGCTTCGTTAGATACTTCAGGGGGTTCCAGCACCAACCTCCTCAAGACTGCCCTGCATCCCCTTCGGAGACCAGCTGAAAACCATTGAAAACCATGTCCCGCATCCTTCCCGCCCACTCCCAGCCTCCCAAAGAACTGACCCATCTGCTTCTGGTGAGAGAAGCGAAGGTGTTCAATGGAACTTTCCGGATTGTCCTGACCGCATCCCAGCACTCACCTAGGTTGGTCTAAAAAAATGCTACCCTAAATATCCGTAATTAAATCAACCGATTCATCATCATTTTCCTTTTTAAAGCTGCCTCTCACTTTCAGACCCACGCACCTGCTCTGAAGGCGCAAATGACCGGCTGAGACACTGAACATCCCAGCTGGGCTCCTTGATAGCTACGGCCAACTCCCGCACAGCATTGGAGTCCAACCAATTGCACCTGCGGCCCAAGCATCAAGACACTGGCAGCCACGGGGTCTCTTGAGATAAGTTCAGAAACTGGAACAAACTAGAATTGGATCTAATCACTTTCTGCATTGTTTCAGCTGATTGTGGACGACACATGACAACACATTTTTGTCAGTGGGGACCTAAATTAGCTCACCACCACTATTTTCCTGTGGTCCTTAAATTTGCTCAAGATAGCCAACCAACAAACAACAGAACATTTCCTCATAGAGTCCCCGATTGTTTGCGGATTCGCCAATTGAAAATAAACATGCAACTGATTGGTGGTTTCAACTCAACTCAATATCAATCAGTGTGGATCCTTATCCAAATATGACACTTTGATAGTTTAATCTCAGAAAATCTTTGAAACCACCTCAATCAGTGGTTATATATATATATAGTTTATATCCCATTTTAGTTATAAATATACTTAAAATTATTTAAACATAATAGGTTATATCATCATTTATTATCATATAACCCCATGGTATACCCATAGGTATTAGATAGGCGCCATATCCCCATGGGGATCGCCCTCTGAGACGCCACGCTCCAGATTCACCGACTTCACCGTCTGGTTCTTCCGCAAGGACCCCGCGAGCTCGACCCCTTGTGCCTCGATCAGTCAGCGGAACAGGCGCAAGATGCAACTCTATATTTACCCTACGGTAAACTAACATAGCTATTGAAAATGGCAATTTATAGTGGATTTTCCCATTAAAAATGGTGATGTTCCATAGTTATGTTAGTTTACCAGAGGGTAGATGGAATTTTCCATGTGTTTCTTTTTTTAATTAAAGACATAACTAAAAAAAAAACTAATTACTACGTAATTAGTTCACGTTGACTCACCGGGAACATGACTTTCATTGGTCTTAATTACCTGGAAATAGAAGTTCCTTTGAACCGTTCCTGGGGATGGCACTTCATCCATCTTGAATCTTAGTGGTGTCTTCGATCAAATTTGCTTGAAACATCTTGAAACCAAGAATCATTCATCTTTGGTATTGTTTGGTGATTTGCCCCATTCCAAATCATTCCAAATCATCAGATGATCAATGGGAAATTCAGGATCCTAAAATGGAGGTACCTACCATATATAAGGCCTATGTAAGGCCTATGTAAGGGGATATCCCCCAACAAAAATGGCCTTATATGGTACAGTACCTCCATTGACATGATAAGGGATCGGGTCAGTCGTTAGGAGACCTTGAGCCTTTCAACGAGAAAAAATCGGCCGCAGAACCTTCTGCAGATTGGAGTTGGACAAAGTGAGCACCTCGATGTGTGTGTTCCTGCGGCAGAAAGAGGTACCCAGGAAGTACGAGTATCATATAGCATCATTGTATATCATATGATATATATATAATATGTATATATATATAATATGTATATATATATATATATGTCTTTTCTGGCAATTGGAACTTCCAGTCCTCTCCACACACAAACACACAAACACACACACACACACATATATATATATGTATACTTAAAATATCTTAAAATCATCTACCAGTATCAAGAGATGTAAGTGAGGGATTTCCATTGCCAGGTTGGATTCCGGGAGCCTCAAAACACGTGCCTTGAGCTGGGATCCATTCAAAGACATTCAAAGAGGATTCAACTCTTGGATCCTTCCAATCCACTCTGAACACCTCTACGTAGGTAATGTGGGGATCAACTATGATCAACTGGCTTGATCTTGGGGATTTTAATAGCCTAATCTTCCACAAAAGTGGAAGAATAAATCGTCAAATCATCTATTTAGCTAGCAAAACGCATCCAAGAATTTATTTCAGGGAACTCATGCACCCAACATTTGAACATGGGGGATACCCGAAAATGTTGGGATTCCTATTTCTGATTTGGGAACTGCCCAGATACTTACCCTCGTCTGTTGCCAGGGGGTGGGGTGGAACCCCTAAAAAAATAAAATAAAATGGAGGGGCCTAAGGAAAAAATGCCAATAAAATGAGAGGGCATAAGGTAAGATAGGAAAACCCAAGTAAAATACAATGGACAGGTACAAAAAGAAAATGACGTCAGGCACCCTCCACCTGGCCACTGTTGGACCTACAATTGGCAACTGTTGGACCTCGGGCTCCGGCATTTTTAGTTTTGTTTAGTCTTGTTTAGCCTTTTCACGTGCCAACAGAAGGAAAAATTGCGCGGATTTCGATCAATATAATATATATATAATTGGTTCCACTTCTGACATCTGGACGGTTTCTAGAAAAGATACAAATAACTATAAATAAACTTAAGAAATCTCATTGGCTGCTGTAAGCTGCCCGTGTGTCTTTTGTTGACCAAGGAAGGCAATAGAAAATGAGGGGGGCCAACCCATTTTCGAAGTTAATGTCCAAGTAATTCCAAATCTCTCGAATGTTTCACAAAATGATCAGACCGCTCACAGCTGTGCATCTTTGCTATCATGCTATCTCTGTCAGTTAACTTGATGGGTTAGGCACCTCAAAAAATAAAATGCACCCACAAAATAAAATGCTGGGGTCTGACCCATTTTATTTTCATTTTATTTTTATTTTTTTTATTTTAAAAAAGGGGCTCCTGCCCCCCCATTTTATTTTTGTACGCCGGACGGGGGTGATACTTCAGCAATTGACATGTTTCCAGCCGAACCATCCCCTTCATGGCTTGTTTGGCCCAAGTAGATACCTATGTGACTGAAAATGCTGGGCAACCATGTTCAACCATTGAAAACCTATATATATATATATATCTATCTATAATTATTCCATAATTATCGATATAAAAATTCAATTATCTATGCAAAATCAATTATAATCATTCAATATCCTTCACCAATCTGAGTGACGGCCAAATTATGGTCCCATCGGATGGCCAACTTCGGCAGCTACGGCCTCCCCATGGCATCCACCAACTTCGGAGCGATCCGCGGCTCAAGGTGCGCCGGCGGCATGTGCCTCAAGCCGTGGAAGTCCATGGGAAAAGAGCTACGAAACCATCACTGGTTTGAGAGAAAGGGTTGAATTCTGCTGGTGAATATGCCATGATATATATATATATACATATGTAATTATATAATATTAATTAATATTATGTGTATATATCTATATAATGAGAGTGTGGGATGTGGAATTTGGGATGCTCAAAACTGGTCATCTTCATGGGGAACCTGACGATTCATCCAGGAGTTTTGTGGCACACCTCATTTCTGGGAAAAAAACACATTGGAGATGTTCCAGTTTGCTTTGCCCGCTGCCGCTTCCATTTCAATTTCACCGAACATTGGCAGTTGGGGCACCAACGTGTGAAAATGAAATATGAAGAACAAGTATCGTCACTTCGCGTAAAAGGCATTGGGCCACAACTGTCACACATACACTACATGACAAAGACTGAACAGTTCAGCAAATGGACGTCGCAAAGGCCATTGTTAAAAAAAAAGCACTTTCCAAGGGGAACAAATCCATGTGCCACAATGATTGGCCCGCAGCAGTCGGTGGGCAATACCCAGATATGGCATGTTTCATGCGAGCATGGCTCCCAAATCAGATTCTGATGGCCTCATCTGCTCAAGTGGATACCAAGTGGCATGTTGCCAAAGTTGAAATCCACCAGAGTTGGATCGTCCAAATGAGCCCTGTGCACCTTGGATCGCTTGGACTGTCCGATATCTGAGGACCCCCTTGGATTCCCAAGGACTAAGGTAGCTTCAAACTGCGATAAAATCTCGAAAGCACTAAGGCTCTGACCATCCAAATCATCCAGTCACCATAAGACCCCCTGACGATCCAAAGTTTGATGCTTCAAATGCACATGGGTATGTGGGACCATTGCGTCCAACCACCATGGGCATGTGGACTCAAAACTTCGTTGGTACCTTTCTTTATTCTTGTGTAAGAACTATGGTTTTCCTTGGTTCTACTGTGTCTGCGAACAGGTTCACATCATCAACTTCAGGCACATTTTTTCCTGTAGTTATTGGATGTTATTGGACAGCTACATCCGATCTAAGGGGCCCTCCCTTGGTTCAGCTAGTGAAAGCCGACAACATCCACAACCCCCAGCTGTGGTGACAGCTGAAGCTGCCTGATCTTAGGTGGTTCTGGGAGCATGTTCTCAATCTGTGTAACCTTGGCAAACCAGCAGCCCAGGGGGGTGGCTTTCGACATAGTGGAAACCAAAAAATCTCTGGCCTAGTACACCATGCGTGATATGCTTGACAGCTGCAGTGCTCTTAGGACTCGGCAGCTTCCAGTTGTGTTGCGAAATCCTGGGGGTCACAGGACTAAACACAACGGATTGAAGGACATCATGAAGTTTTATACCTTATGAATCCTTATGACCTTATTTTCACAGATATGAGATGACCTTTCATACCATTATTATACCATTATTATACCATTATTGACCATTATTATACCATTATTATACCATTATTATACCATTATTATACCATTATTATACTCTATGAACCTTTGATATTTACCATCCAAGCTCCTCTTCAGTCGGGGGAGCCGCAAACACACACCTGTCAGCTGGCGCCTCGTTGATGGACACTTTCTCCACGACATCTCCTTCGGGTTCTTCGACTTCGGGTTCGTCTACCTGGGCACCCCATGGCTCAAGCCTCCAAACCCAACTGGCAAATGCGATGGGCCATAATGATACAGACTCTATCTATCTATCTATCTGCCTACCTATCTATCTATCGATCTATCTGGATATGCATATGCATATGTAGGTATGTATAAGCTTAAATATATCTATATTTATATCGTATACATATATGTGTATACATATGTTTGTATATATGGATGTATACATTCACGCACAAACACGCACACGCACATGTATATATATATATAAATAAACATGCATGGCCATTTTTAACATAAACATAATTCAAAACAATAAACACCTAGTATAGTGGTGGAGCCAGAAAGTTCCAAACCCTCCAAAGTACTAAGGTAGTACCCAAAATGACCATGTCGAGTAGGAAACATCTTCGCAACTAGTGTTCAAGGTATCAGCAAGTGAATTGCCGGACAGCCAATGACAGAATATGGTATATATAATCAAAATACACAATCATACAAACAAATGAAGTTAAATGATATCATATGGTCTCGAATAACTTCAAATTATATAAGTCTAAATCAACTACAATGCATGATATTGTCTCACTCCCTCTCTGTTCAGAAAAATATGAAGCAAACCCCCAAAATGGGTAAAAAAAGGATAGAACAGTAAAATCCTAGCAGTAAAAATCCGTAAAAATCGTGGTTTTCTGACATTTCCATGACATCTCCATGCCATTTCCCAATCCGACATCGGCACTCGCAGCACCAGCTCTGTAGAGGCTATGGCCTGGGAAAATCATGGGATTTCTATGGGCTGTTTCCTGCGCGTTTTTAACCAAACATATGGCTTATAAACTGGGTTGATTCCTGGGATAAAGAGGCTATTCCTGCGGTTTTTTGATGGGGATATTTGTACTTTATAAACATTTCGAACAGATATATGTTATATGGAATAGCAATGATACAAATATGTAACGCGATCAGATTTGGGTTTGTCCAAACATGGGGAAGGGGCCGTTAATTATGGTTATAGTAGAGAAAACCATGATAAACCATCAGACATTTTTAATTTTGTTTTTTTTTGGTATTAATATATCTATTAATCAGACAAACCAAAATTGTGTTTTTTCGTGACTTACCCACCCCCGCACACGAACATATATAGATATGGACAATCTATGTCCATTAATTGCGATTAATGGACATGGATTGTCCATTCGGGTTTCCATAGGTATGTGAATTCACTGTAGAGTATTGTTTGAAAGACACGGAGCCAGCAAGCATGCCGAGATAAGGAGATACAAAATCATCAGATATCTGAGTTTCAGAGTAAAGCTTGTAAGTTGTAAGTATGAACCAACACAGAGTTATGTACAGTAGCTTAGCGGTATATGAACATGTTCGTAATTTTTAGCTCTACGTCTGAAACATATGGGAACACTCCCAAAAATCCCAAGGGATTTATGCACCATTTTACCCAAGTGGCCGTCATATGGACATATGGAAATGTGTTTGTCTGAAAATGACAGGGAAACAGCCTTAATTTGATGGTTGAATCATCATTGCCCCTGAATGATCTGAATTGCAAAGGTCATCTTAAAAGAAGGGGCATCCCCAATTGCAATAGATGGCTGAACATCATTTTCTCCTGCAATTTACCCTCTGGTAAACTAACTTAACTATGGAAAATCACCATTTTTAATGGGAAAATCCACTATAAATTGCCATTTTCAATAGCTATGTTAAATTACCAGAGGGTATGGCAATTTTCATGATTTTTTTCATGGCTCCTATCCAAGTTCCAGAGGTTCCCATCTACACCTTGATGCAGTAGCTCCTCTCCGCTACCGCGGCCACCTAAGACCCGGACAGTGAAAAAACCAGGGCCGAGACAGGCGGGATTTTTAGGGCCCAATGAAACCTACAAAGATGGTGGGTTGAAGAAACATACCATGGATTCTTGGATATGTACTATATGATTACTATGAATTTGGGTACGGGTCAACATGATCAGTCCCGAAAAAGATGGATGGTTTAGGACTTACCAATTGCAAATTCTTGTGGGCCCAGTATTTGGATACCCAGCTGGTGGTTTGGCAACCACAAACGGCTCCTGGAATCCGTTGGATACACCGCCTGCGATATAGCACACACATATCTATACACATACACATGCAACATGCATAATTATGTATGCAAATATATCTTTATGTGCACCAACTGTTGAGAAGCCATTTCGAGAAAACGCTCCAAAATATTCAGACGCACCATCAATATATACAATATATACAATCATTCTACAGTTTGTACCATATGTATACACACACACATATACATATACATATATATATATATATCAACAGACTCAAACAAGGTACGCGCATGTTTTTTGGACTACGAACCACATTTCATGAACGCCCTTAGCATTGATGAAAAGGGACGCATTTCCTAATCGCCTGGAACAAGGGCACATTTTTTTCGTCATCGGCTTCTTGAAATTTGGGACGCCCAAACTCCCAAACTTTCTCAAACTTCATGATTCATTAGAACCACATAGAAACAGTGGAATTGGGATCTACCCTCTAGTGATTCTAGTAATTCAACATCGCCATGGAAGGTATGGCCCATGTTACCCAATTTTGATGGTGTTTGTCCACAGCCATATAACAAATTAATTGTCGGAAAATAGACAACATGACATAACCGTATTACGAGGGGTTAAGATCCCCATTATCAACGATAATTAGTGGTCAATATACCATTATTAGTGGTTAATATCAATATCTATCAATATCTATTATTAACCACTAATAATGGTATATTGGGATCTATCTATTATTATTATTAACCACTAATAATAGTTTATCTCCATCTATTATTGGGATCTATCTATCCGATGATATCCGGCTCCTCCAGTTTTGGAAATCCGGCTCATCCAAGGTGCTGGTTGCCCGCTGATGGTTCCAGTGGCCGGGTTCAAGGTGAGGCCTGCAGGGGCTCCCTCGACTGATGGCAGTTTTCTGGTTGGTGGTTTCAATATATGGATTATTATAATTTATTATATATTATTATTAGTCAGTTGGGATTCTTATTCCCAATATATGGAAAACCCCCAGTCAGTTTTCTTGTGACCGACACTTATTGAGCACGACACACGAAATATCAAAGTTCCTCATGCCAAAATGAACGCCTGAATTGATCATCTCAGGATGGAAAAAACGAAAGGACATACACAGGTAGCGAAAAACAACCGAGCAAATATCCCCAGTGTTTGTTGCCTTGTGTTTTCATACATATCCCCACACACACACACATATACATATATATATATATATATATGTGTGTGTGTATAAATATATATATCATCAATTACAATCAGGCACACACACATAATTATGTAATTATGTATAATATATATATATATATAATTATATAATGCTAATATGTATCCCCTAGTCAATGACTGAACATCGGGGCAACCTGGAGGCAAGGGCGGCTCCACTTCGAACTTCACAGCGCCGCCTGGGGCTTCGCCAAGCTTCGCGCTTCGCGGTCAGTTGGGATCATCCCTTAAGGACTCACATCCGAAGGACGGGTCAACTACCAAGCAGCTTGAAATACCCTCTGGTTATGTCAAAATAGCTATTGAACATGGCTATTTATAGTGGATTTTCCCATGAAAAATGGTGATTTAACCCATAGCTATGTTAGTTTAACAGAGGGTATGGTCAACATTGGTCAACAAAAACCTCACCAAACCGGGACCATCGGGACCACAAAAAATCACACCAAGTACTGTACGAAATAGTGAAGTGGCGAGTCCGGCTGGGATCCAGTGGCAATATGTGGCAATGGTCGCATGAGGGTGTCCAACGATGAGCTGAACCGTAAACTCCCATATAACTTGAATGGGGAAAGATGGGTAACGTATGATTTTCTCAACCATCGAACTGGATCTAATTGGAGCTATTAAGTGTGCAGTAACTACAGGGTACCCTCATTTTCAAACACATCCCCTGTCGACCCCATTGGTTCCATTACAAGATTCCATGGTCATGAGTGGCAAGGTCCCTGATTCCCTGGCAGTCCAGGCTTCGCCATGTTTGGGGCTATGACCGCGAGTTGCGCCACAGCACAAAAAGCACCCGGTTGCTTGACATCCGAGTGCCATTCCCAGGCAAAGACAGTGTGCTGCATTTGCAGCGACTGTCCATGCTATTACACAGGTCCACAAGCAACGTCATTCCGTTCAGCTGCCACTTTCCAAAGAAACACTCTTGATGTTTGGAGATGGTTAGAAATAGGTAAACAATCGTAAACAAACTTCACCCGTAGTTGGCTTTCGTCTCAAAGAACAATGAGCAACATTTGTCATTCTGTGTTGGCTCTTAAACGGGGCAACAAATTCCTGTTGCAAGTTGACTTTTGTACAAACCCTCGGAGCCCTTGCTTCTTTCATTGTCCAACCGTCGAGTTCAACGTACCCAAATGCGACAGATCCACAGCTTCCACGTCCATGACTTCGAACTGTGCGGACTGTGTCACGTCGTAATCCTCACCCGCAAAAAAACAGTTTTAAGCCGTCAAACATGGGGATCAAACCAAGGGAACACACATCGTAAAAAGTGGCAGGGTGGACCACTGAACATGGGGCCTTGGGTCAACCTTAGGATTGAACCAGCTTCAACCTGAACAGAACTCAGATTTAGCGACCGGATCTTCCATCAAAATGGCAAAGCATTATAGCCAATTTATAGCGCACCCATTGACCTGCCATTGACCTGCCAGCTTCTCCAGTCCTCATCATCGTAGTCCGCATCGTTGTCCAGACTGTTTTGTATCTCCGTTCGCATTTGCCTTGGGGCCATGATGCCTGGTGCGTTCACCTATGCAGCAAGTGCTGCTTTTTTGTGTGTCTGTGGTGTATCCACCCAATGGCAATCGTACTGCAGTAAACTCTATTTGGGGATGCAGTACAGTACCACATTATTCTCATACTCATCCATTTCACTGGAAGTGAGAGATAAAACGATTCGTACCTGGTACCACAATGCACACTTCCGATCTCGTACCCCGGACAATTTTTCAGTGTGGCGGTTACTGGAGCCCTTTCAGGTTGGAACTTCCAAACCCCCACTTTCAAGACACAGCTGTTCCACCTTGGAGGGGACTTGATGGCACTATCCGTCCCCATATGGACCCCCAATCCGAACTTCAGGACTTCGTAGTGGATCTAGTCATGAATTGGGGATCCAGGATTGGGGGTTATTCAATATTGGGGGGACAGGATTCATCATTATCAATCATCAAATAACCCAATAACCCGCATATATATATATATATAATATATATATATATATCCATTTATCTGATCATCAAATGATTATCAACCAAATTATCATCCACCATTAATAGCTTATGATACCATTATCAACCCATGATCAACCAGTACGTATTTTATTCCATGGTAGTCTACTCCCTAGGAATCTCCCGGCTCTGCATCGAGGCGCTGGAATTTCTGATCCAATTCGTCGTACAAATCGCCGAAGCAGCGTTTGATCAAACTGTTGGTGACCCGGATCTGCTCCTTGCCTCAGCAAAAGGCTCGAATTTCAGAAGGTTAATATGTAAAAATACCTGGCTCAATCATGTTTGATAGGGATAATCACGGGATGAATGGTGATGAATGGGATATTGATGAACAAATACCCTCCTTTGTCATCAAACTTGGCGGGTCGCTGCGAAATCTCAGAAAAAAAAAAAAAAACAATCGGCATCGATGAGAAAATCATGGAAAAACATAGGGGGTTTCCTAGCAGACCATAGTTGATGACCAGAGGGTAACATATCTGCACATGGTTAACATATCTGGTTCATGATTTCAACTGGTCTCCAGATCTTGGGTCGCTGCGGGCATGCCTCTAGGTCGGATGGAAAATAAAACGTATTTCTGACTGCCAATAGAATATCTATAATATGTTAAGCACATACACGAGAGAATCTCCTTCAACATCAATGGTGTCTTCTATGACTCTATGATGGTGCCTGGTACGTTATTTCATGAAGCTCCGTGCCGGCTCATGGGGGGGGGCACGTCTGGCGAAGATGAAAATAATGGACATGCACATGGAAATTCATAGGATACCCTCTGGTAAACTAACGTAACTATGGAAAATCACCATTTTTCATGGGAAAATCCACTATAAATGCTCATTTTCAATAACTATGTTAAATTACCAGAGGGTAAATGGCTAAGGCTCAACTCAAATGGGTCCCAATTTGGGACACCAGTGGTGGGACCAGTGGTAAAACCATCCAATTTTCAGGCGCAATCATGTGCCAAACATCATGTTTCTTGACACCCACCCGCATGATTGGTATGATACGCAGATAACATCATGTAAACATGGTGACATAATATATATTAAATAACTAAGATAATAAAAATGATCATCAAAAAAAATAAATAAATAAACAAACAAATAAATGAATAAAAATAAACAAACGCGCACACACACACAGACATTCACATATATGTATATATATAATATAAATACACCATATCGGCAAGCTCCTTCCATATCCAATAGTCCCCCCTTTCTTGAAGTATCCCGAGATCACCAAGTTCCTGCCACCCGCCAAGTGACAATCCTTCACCGTGGCAGGGTTGGAGCCCCGCATTCCCAGGACCATGTTCACCAAATCGGAGAAGGTGATGTTCTGCGAGGTCTTCGCCTGGGTCGCCATTGGGCCTTGTGGGCAAAAAAAAATGTGAGGGTTGGGGATCCTGGACAAGGGTGAAGTCTGATTTCCATTCCAAGTGTTGAAGGGTTTTATTTGAAATTAAACATGGACATATGGGGCCATACTGTGTATACATCTTGGGATTTGCCAAATCAAACATGTCCAGAATGTCTTTGATTACTACGGAGGCCACATGAGGTTTCACCTTGCTGTCCCACACTCCAGACAAGGCACACCGCAAATTCTCCAGGCAATCTCGTATATGTACACACTACTGGCATACTACTAGACTTAAACATAATCCAATCAATCTATTTATCTTCAATTCAAATCTATTGAATCTCTAATTATATATATATATGTGAACAAATAGATCCTTGTCCTGGATATCGTTTCAATTGATCGTACCTGTTGTGCTGGATGTTGCCGAGCCCCCTCAAGACATGGCACACGGTGCGCAACTGTTTTCCTCACAATGGGCGCTTGAGCCAAAATGGCGTCCCATGCAAATGCTATTTACATACCACATGATATATGTGTGGTACCGCTGAGTTCCCTTTGACACCCCCCATGTCCGTGGTGTCCTTCGGACCACGGGCACGAGAGAGGGAACTTTGAATTAAATGGCTTCTGCTACTTGAATTACGCCTATTTACATAAAGCCTGCCATTCGGCTCCCCCTTTCCCACATACCCGACGGGAATAATGGTTCCGGGTTCGCCTACTCCATGGCTGTCGATGCAATGGCGCGTCTTCAAGCTGTACATCGCGAATTATTGCTAGCTAACATCTACTTTTCTGCGTCGGCTAAGCAGGTCACTCACCCGACGGGAGAAGTGGACCGCTTCGCCACCAAAGATTTACAACGCTAACTAACGAATTCACGTGCACTGTGCAGAATTTCATGCAGATTGGGAATAATGAAAATCTTGGACCTAAGCGAATTAGTCTACTGCCTCGCTCAGAGTCCACTCAGTTGGTCCTTTTCCTGATCATCTGTTCACAAAGACGATACACATCTTATAGTCCAGTGATCATTTGGATGGACAGAGGTGGTTGGCCTACTCCTCGCGGCGGACTTTCTTCCATTGGGGTGTATTCTGAGATTTCTCCCAACCTGCCGCGCGTTTCGGAGCAGCTTTCGGCGATGGAGGTTTCGCAGGTGGTGCTTTGGATGGTTCATAAGACTTCGGCATAGCCTTAGCCTTTGGTGCACTGGCCGATGAGGATGACGCTGAACCAGTACCTTCAGGTTTCTGTGAAGGCTGTGTTGACGATCTGGCTTTTGCGTCTGCAGTGGCACGCTTGGCGGCGACGCTATCCCCGACTGCTTTGAATACCTCACTCACCACTTCGTCGCCCAGGTTTGGAGCCATCTTCATTTTCATCTCGGACTTCCCCCTCTGCGCCTCGGCTTCAGCGAGTTGAATGGCGTAAGCCATCTTGCTGATGAAGTTGCGAGGTAATGGAATACCGCATTGTTGGGCAGCAAAGAGTAGTTCCACCCTTTGTTCCTTTTCTCTCAGACTCAGATATACCGAGAAAGCTGGGAGTTCAATGCAGTTGGGGAAGCCGTGGCTCCCGGAACGAAAGAAGGTGTATGATTCATATTCGGGAAAAGTTCCCTTCAGCAATCGTCGGAGAAAGTTGCTGATGGTCACCCTCATCCCTTGTTTCTCCTTTGCATCACCCTGCATCTTATTCATTGGCATGAGGAAACCTAAGGACTCGGGAGTGTACCCGGCACATACGAGAAACTCCATCATCTTTTCATAAATCTCTAGAGTCTTGACGACGGGCATCATCATGTTTCTCGGTCGTCCAGAGTACATCTTCTCTCCCTCTGACCATGAGTTCTTCTTCCCTTTCTCCTGAAAGAGTTCGTCCAATTCCAGCTCCGTTGGTCGCTTGAGGTTGCCATCCTGATCTTCGCCTGTATAAGGACAGAAGTCGTCCAGGTCCAGTCGGACTCGCTTGGTCTCCGTCATCAGCGCATAGTATGCCTCTGGGGTCAGAGTGACTCTCTGATTGTAGTAGAGTCTGAACATTGCGATGATCTTTGACATCACGGCATTGTCGTACAAGTGAGCCGCGGCCTCGGAGACATCATTGTTGACAAGCCCGTCTCCTGGCAAACCCTTGCTTCCACACGCAAGATTCTTGGTCCATGCTGGCAGTTTGGATGAAGGTTCATTCTCAGGTTCGACGTCCATTTCATCATCGTCTTCATCTTCAACGATCTCGTCGTCTTCCTGCTGAGTCTCCTCCTGATCCATTTCCTCGTCATCGCCTTCATTGTAGTCGACCTCGTCAGGGTTGAAGCCATAATCGTTGGATTCAGATACGTTTTCTTGTGCTTGGTGGACCGTATCCTTGAACAACGATTCTTCTTGTCGACGAACCTCCTCATCGAGCTCTTTCTTTGTGGCTTCGTCTTCATCGTCTTCAGGAGCTTGTAGTCTATATGGTCGAATTCCACAGCTCTCAAGTTCTGTCCAGCAAACTAGACACACTGCCAACTTCGTCGGCGTCTCATTGAGGCAATGAGGGCAATGGCGGCAACCTGAAGTTTGCACCCTCTTGCGTTCGACGATGTAGTCGATCAGCTTGATGCGGGCGAGGTATTGTTCTTGTCCGCCAGGCTCAATGAGATTGTTCCTGAATTGGTTGACGATGTTCATTGCATCCATGGTGATCTCGTCATACGGTTGCTTTTCGGCGTCAATGCATTGACTTGCGACCCTCAGAATGGACTCCTTAGTGGCAACAGTTCTTGACTTGACAGTGCCTGACCGGACTACCTGGTCGTCGCCCGACGGGACGAACAACCGGAGCCATGTCTTGTTGTTTTGATCTTTCGGATCTTGAATCCATCCTCCTTTGATCGCTGAGAACGGGATGATCTTTGGCGAAACGATCTGTCCCGAATCGGTCAATCGACCGCCGTACTCCACCATCAAGGTCTCGGTCGGGATAAAGAGGCAGATATAGTCCCCTTTTCGCGTATCAACGCTCTTCGTGATGGTCCATGATCTATGATCCCATGGCACATATGGGTTGAAGAACGTGAACATACGATGACCTTCTCCAAGACCTCCCGGAATTAATCCCTGCCTCCAAATGCTTCGGAGGTTGGTCTTCTTCGTGATGTGGAAGCAAACCGGTAATGACATGATGGTGTTGGGCGCGATCGGATGCGAGAGCAATGATGACAGCAACAAGACGTCATCTCTGGAGGATCCCTCCTTGTGCCCCGTTGGGGCGCGAACTGCAACTGGATAGAGCAGTAGCCCCTCATCGGGGATGTGCGTGTCCGCAGTGACTTTGTTGTCAATGCATGTCAGGCTGCTGCGATCAATGTCCTTGTTGATCCCGAACGCCAAGACTTGTTCACGCACACGACGTCCATATCGGGCACAGTGGAACATGATCTTGAACAGCAATGTCATGCGATAGTTCGCCTCATTGACATTCCATGCACTTTGATCACTTGCTCTTCCTTTGGGGGCAAGGAAGACGTGCGGCCAGCGTTGGTACTCATGTCTCCAGATGGACTCACATTTGAGTACTTCCTCAATGGGCACCCAGCCGGCGTCGTCACAAAACAGACTCTGGGATTCTGATGCCTTCCCCACATGGTGTCGTAAGATCTTGTTCAGTGAGGTGCTCACCTTGTCCTCATAGCTGTCGAGCCGATTGCCAGTTTCGAAGCGATAGTTTGCCGCATACTCCACACCGCCAAAGTAGAAGCAGTTGAAGAAGTGGGCTCCTGTCGTAGGGATGATTTTCAAGAAACCATCTTGCGGCGCTTCGATGCGTTTGTAGAAGGGTTTTCTGATGTTGTTGTCGGAGTAATTTGCGAGGAACTCTTGTACTGACCAAGTGTCACCTCCTCCTCTGACAATAGCGTCCCGGACCACTTCGTTGAGATCAACGACATTCTGGGGTCCCAGCTTGGTAACATCACGCCCTTCAATGCAAAACCTACCATACTCATCGAGGTCTCCAACTTCGGACATAGTCCTGATGCTGTCGTACCATTGGTATTCACTAAACCTCGGTTTTGTAGGCTCATCCGTTTGCCCTGACCCTTCAGTAGCACCTGATCCGTCCTTTCTGTGCTCAGGCGGTTCCATCTCGACGTCATCAGATGTGGGACTATCAGCCTCGAGCGACGCTCGGACGGCCTTTAGCACCTTTCTGACTTCATCCTTCTTCTCATGTTCACATTCGAGGTGACCATGTTTGGTGCTACCACAGTACAAACACACATTGACATCCTCAGAGGCAGTGAAGAGTTTTCCCAACGCATCCAAGAGTTGTTGTTTTCCGGAAATCTCTGAGTCCCTGACCACATCAGTGGGGTCGTTTGCTGGCTCATCAGCTTCCTCCTCCCCAGGGTGAGCCGACGGCTCGTCACCTGGCTTGGCGTCGGCATCAGCGCCCATGCTGGTGTCATCCCCTGTGATATGGTGCTTTCTTCGATACTGAGAGAATACCTGATCTTTCTCCCACTCTGTGAGGCAGCAGAAGTTGACCAGCGATTCATATCCGGGGATTGCGTGGATGATCTTCATGACCTTTTCGGCTTCTGCAGTCTGCAGGGTGCAGTCGAAAGATCCCCGTCTCTTGTCATTAATGGTGCTTGTAGTTCTGGAGGTTGATGTGAATTGAGCCAATGCCTTCTCCAAGCCGTTGAGGAATTCGGCAGGATCAACGCTGGCATTGAAGACATTCACAACTCCTTTGGCCATGTTTGCTACATCCAAGACGCCAAGCCAAAACTCGATGATGTCCCCAGTCTTCTCGGCTGATGCACGGGAGAATCCGAAGATTTCGTTCCTTTCCTTCACCTCAGGAACAGCGACCTTCTCGAAGAAGTCCTTGTACGCGACATTTCCGCAGTCTTTCGTGACCCTGTAGACTAGGAGCCACTTCTTCGCGACCTCATCATAGATTCTTTCGCGGTAGATGCTGAATTGTTTGCCGCG